TGAAGATCCAGAACACTAACAGGATAAATCAGATTTAACCAGCCAAAGCAGACAATCCAGGAGAAACAGTGACCACTCAATTTGACTGAAAAAAAGAGGAACAATATAGCTAAAATCACAAGATGACCATAACAGAGAGTTTAGTATTAGTATTCTGTGATTTTGTTTTAATTTACAGCACCAGTTTAATGCATTTTATACAACAATACAAAGTGCTGGTCTGTCAGTTCAAAAAGTTCATACTTTATTAGTCAAGGGCACATTCAATTGATAAAAAGTGACGTTACAAAAGATTTCTATTCCAAATAAATGCTGTTCTTTTGAACTCTCTGTTAATCAAAGAATCCTGTATCACAGTTACAAAAATATATAATAAGCAGCACAACTGAAGGATCGTTTCTAAAGGATCATGTGACACTAAAGACTGGAGTAATGGCTGCTGAAAAATTCAGCTTTGCTATTACATGAATAAAATATATTTAAAACTATAGAAAAACAGTTATTTTAAATTCACAATGTAAGTGCTGTACTGTATTTTTGACCAAATAAATGCAGCTTTTTTGAGCATAAGAGACCTCTTTCAAAAACATTAAATATATATAGGCATATATATAAATAAACTTTGTGAATATCTAATAATTTTAATGCACTTTTTTCTTTGACCATTAAGTCAATTACAGTCATTAAGAATGTGTGTTGTTTCACGATCATTACTTTTCTGTTGACTTGCAAGTATTAAAATAACATTTTAATAGCATCCTTGATTTAAACTTCATTATCAAAAAAATTCTAAGTTCAATTAACATCCATGAATCATTTCAAACTCTCCACTTTTTTACTGTGCCACATTAAGAGAGTGATGTTTTCAGGCCCATTGCACATTTGGCTTGAGTCGCTCACTGCATGAAGGTTAGTGAGCGTGAGTGGAGGAGTAGGTCTTATTAGCCCATAAAGAAAGCTTTTCTAGATGGGTCTAACAGACTTCTGGCCAGAACCTCTTTTAAGAACACCACAAGCTCATTATAAACATAAATCAGCTTCCTGGAGCATTTTGCACACACTGTTGACCTGCGGCCAGCACACTGCAGAAAGCTCCAGGGCTCATCAGTCATGCTGCCGTCCCTTCAAACAACCACAACAGCATGCTCTAATGTGGGGAAAGTCAGTACTCTGGATCCCATCTATCTAACCCTTCAGTGAAACACCATCTACCTACCTAGTGCTGTGAGCATTCATTGAGGGTGTGAGCTGAAATTCAGACAGCAGAAATACTAGTCATAGTTGAATACTAATACTAAATGAGGTCGCATAGCTGGATTTTAGTTTTTTGTTTTTTTCCCCCCCAATGAGCACAAGAGACATACTGCATGGCACAGTGGCACTGTTTTACAGTATCGTTTAGTGGGAGTCTGTTTGACACATTAGCTGTGTTAGTGGGTTAATCTGGTGGAATAAAATCATCATTTGACAGATTGTGCTAGTAAATGCGTGTGACTGAGGGTTTGGAGATTACTGCCAAAATCAACTAGTCAACAGCAGCTGCCCTCTGTCTCCCCCTGCTGTGAGCCAATACTCTAGAAAACGTTGGTTGTGAAAATTAGACATGGCCTAAGACTTAAAACAGTATAACAAACTAAATAGACCATAATTTTATCCCTCACAACCTCATTTTTAGTAACATCAAATTAAATATGATGTATCACCAATACATTCATAGAGTGGGACATGTTGGGTTAGAAAGTTGATTGAATAACTGGGTATTTAGCCTTAAAAATCTAATATGTAATATTGTATTTTGTGTGTGTGTGTGTGTACCACACAAGCTAAATTGAGCATAATGGAAAAATGGGTTTTAAAAGAAAATGTATGCAGCTTCTCTTCAGTTCAAGTACCTATGGTTTCTGCCTCAAAGTATAATATAAAAAGGGTTATTATGAGATATTTTAGTTTAAAATAAGAAATAAAAACTGCACTGTGAGATGAAGTCACACTGCTGTGCTTCTGAAGTGTTTGTGTGACTCTGCTGGGTGATCAGTGCCTGCTCTATATTTTAGCAGGAAGTACAAACCCAAATACGAAACTTGCTATAAATAGATGCTGTTCCTGTCTGTCACTCGTTATTTAAGTCTTCCCATCCAGCCATGAGTCATGTGCATCAGTTTCCCTTCCAAACAAACGGTGCCATGTAATAAATAGGCTTATACAATGACTTCCATGCAAATGTCTAAAGAGTCAAGTTTAGATGATCCCAACTTCTCATGGAGCCAGATTCAGCCAGGCTTTCAGAAACAGCTTATCAATAAGATAAACAAGAGAATAGACAAATGACGGCATTGCTTTAAACACAGAGCTATTTGAGTGAATGGAGTGTAATTCCAGCCCTTCTTATGTTTGTGTTTTGTTTGTCATCCAACATAATATGAGCTAAAACAAATCTAGATTTATAGATCTAAATACTACCCATCTGGAGACCCATATCTCCCACTAATAATTAAACATCAGTACCTTACTTTAGCATGGCTAAGTCACTTACAAACACATGAATACTGCCTGCTAACATAGGAACACTCCTCAAGTGGAACAGGATCGTGTCTTTTCTATTCATGGACTATCAGTTTATCGTTGAGAGAAAAAAAAATACAGCACAGAATTTGATGTGCTACAATGTTGCATAACAACCTTAAAACAAATTAAATAGAATTCATTTATATGGGCATTTATGTTATTTTTTTCCGCAACGCCATGAATTAAAGGTTGATACTAAATGTTTTAGTATCACTTACTAAACTTTTAGTAAATGATACTAAAGGTTTACTTATACTACATTAGCAATGCAAACCATGACAGTGCAGTGAAACACCTCATATGAACCTGAAAAGCAATAACAACAAAGTGAAGTTAAACTCACTCACCCAGCTCACAGAGGCAGAGGCAGTACACCTATCCAAGCTCACACTGCCACACTTAATGTAGAGCTTTAGGTTTCGTTCATTGCAGCTACTCCACAGTAAACAAGCCTGTCCCCTCTTGAGACGACTGGCACATTGGGTTGCTAAATCTGCAGAGTTCGAGCAGGCAAGAGGGCAAATACAGGCGAGAGGTGGTAAGCAGTGTGAGACCGTGGGGGGCCACACTGATTCTGACAGGGTGGAGATGAGCTGGACGGTGCATGGTCCTTGGTAACACTCGTAAACAAACACAATGCCATAAACTAAGCAGAAAGGATTTTACCCTTCCCATAACCCCCTTAGCCTGTCAACAGGGCCCCAAAACAATTACATTAAAAATAGTTTCGCATTAAAAAACTGGAAGACTCCAGTCATATCAATGGCCTTATAAAAGACGTTTAATTTGTTTTACATAGAGCAGGTAGCCTCAGACATATTGTAATGACATGACTACCAATACTACTTGTTTTCTCAGTAAACTTACTATTGGACACTTTTGGTCACAGAATAGATTAATCATCGTTAATCATGAGTGAATATATCATTTCTACAATGGTATTGATAGCCGAAAACTTTTTTGGGGAAATATAATGCTCTATTCACACTGACAGCGATTTTACTGGAGGCCACCAAGGTGCTGTACTGTTGGTCACTAGTAGGTATTCACATTGCTGGATGACCAAATAAAAAAGGCATTCAATAGAGTACCCATTAAAATCTTTGCAATCCTTACAGAATTAATTTGGGTAATAAGATGCAACAAAGTGGAATTCTGAGTTTCGTACCCAATTTACTCACTTTAGTGTAACCAGAAGCAGTCAGGTTGATCTGGTTATTTTAAATAGTATTTCTAACTTTAATACAACTATTTAGTGAAGGACACTTTTACAATATAACTTGGTGAAAAAAGGTTAATAGGGCACAATAATTTAACTTACCATACCAGTGTTTTCAGCTCTGTCAGGCATCCTGCAAGACCTTCCATTCAATGGCTACTGCAATCGTTCTTGCTGAACTGCCTAGACTATGATCTTCCCTTCCAATTCCAACTTCGGTTCAACCACACAACTGTTTCCTATTGGAAAACCTTACAGCACACTATAATACATATATGCATTATTTATGTATCATCCATTGTCTGCTACCTGTTCACCTCACCTGTTTACGCTCTTACACATACACACACCCCATACCATTTCACTTATTCACAAAATAATTATTCTCACCTTTTGCTACATAATAATGCAGAAACCTGGCCTTTTAAATGCCTCAAGCAAACAAAGTATTTATTGGTCACTGAAATAAATACTTTTTAATAGCTGACAAATATGCAACACTCCCCTTCTCCTCCCTGACACCAATACACAGCATTAAAACATTAACATTATTACATAACTATTGCAATAAAGTGCCTAACCAAATATTCCCATCCTTAATGAATGAATGAATAAATGACTGTATTGCAAAATCACTTCAACTGCATAGACAAGGAATGCTGAATAAGATATTAATAAATCATCAAGACAGCACTTGTCTATGAACAATCAATGCTGATTGTTATTGATAATTATGCTTTCACTTAATAACAGATATTGAATGCACAGATATTGCTTGTTGTCAAGGGAATCAATTCATTTTTTTCCTTACTTCCTTTTTTAATTCTCTCATGTCAATTTTCAGCACAATTTAGACTTCATTTGCGATTTTGCGTATTGTCTACAGCTTTTCATTTATCCATATCTGTCATTCCTTTTCCTGCATCCTTTCCCCTCTTACACTGTAGATATTGTCAGGCATCTTTTTGCACCTCCCCCTCTTTTTTCCCCTTCCATTCCCGTCTCCTTTCAGTCTCCCAAGCTCCGACCACTACAGGCCAGTATGAGAAGAGAAATTACATGCTTTTTCATTCATATCCCCCTGACGTCAGCCCAGTCCAACACGAATACTCCCCCCTCATCCCCTTCTTCTGCCTGCACTGACAACAGCCGGCGATGTCTTCCCACTCATTCTCATTTTGCCATTCTGTCTGAAGCGTCTGAGATGCAGTGTTACCTGGCTGCGTGCGACTCCGATGCAGCTTCCCATCCTGTATTCCATGTCCTCCTGAGGAGAGGTGACTGAAGCACTACAAGGCTTGCAAAAATAATCTCTCCAGGATTGCATCCCCACTACAAAGAAATGGCATCGCTGAGCAATGCAAGCAGGGTGTGAGCAAGTGAGTGCAAGCGTGCGAGGATACCCTCATATGTCTGTGTGTGTGAGTGTGTGTGAATAAGCCTCATCTACTGCAATGCCCAGGGTATAACTACGACATACATGCACATTCTCTGTTATATAACAACACAATTATATAAATAGCACAGCTGAGGATTAAAAAAAAATGTGTCTTGACATTTATTCCTCTCTTACTTTATTGGGTTTTGCAGCGATGCTTAAAGATGCCACTCTGCAAGTGGGTAAAAAGCCCCTCTGTTATCTTCAGCGACCGTCACACAAGCAGTTTTTTTTTTTACTAAAATTACTGATTTTAGTTTTAGTCCACAATTGTTATTTAAGACTAAATATTACTTAATTTTAATATCAGTCATAACATGAAAATAATTATCAGTTTTGGCCAGAATTGTCTGTGCATCCCTTAGGAAAATTAGCTTTCAGCAAAAAATTGAACCTTTACCTCTGAAACAGAAAGCAAAATTCTATTAAAAAAATTGCCTTTTCAAATGAATGCATTATTTACACATTACACGTTATTTGTTTTGATGCATATCTTACTCATTTGTATTCACTAAAAATGGACACCAGGAAAAGATACTGCAGTTCCCTTAAAATTAAATAATAAAAGTGTTTAATAAAGACAAACTTAAAAATACCTCATGAAAGATGAAAAAATTAAGAACATTTGAGGATATCGACAATAAATTTGGTAAATGGCAATTAAAAGCTATATAAATAATTTTGCTTTTATACGGTGCCATTTTATTAAGTGAGACAGGATTTCAGCCAATTTGAAATACAAAGATTTAGAACTTCAAGCAGTAAGCCATTTATGAACATTAAATAAAGCATATAAAGGCATAAAACAGCACCTACACCTAAACAAAGCACATCAACAAGCAGATAGTAAGCCTAAAGACTTTTTAACAGGATTGAAAAATCATAAATGAAAAAAAAACAAAACAAAAAAAACTGCTGTAAGAAATCAATACTACACTAAAATCACAACTTCAGCCACTGACCTGAATGCAGATTTATACCACCACACTGTCCAAAAAGTCCCTGCAGCTTAAAGAAGTGTCTTGTGAACATGAGTGTTACTCAGACAGCAGGCAGATCCCTCCAAAAGGCTTCAGATGTCAGTGGGATCAAACTACAGGGCAGTTAATCCAAGCTTGGACCAATCTGTGCGCATATGGAGGGCCGCACCACTGCACACATGGACAGCTCTCTATTGCCTCCCTGCATAAGCATTTTACACAGACTTTATATGAACATGTAACAGACAACAAAGCGCAAGAAAATACAAATATTGCCATATGGCAATATTTATATACTTGACTAGAGGCAGCAGTCAAGAGTATGTATTCATTAAGAATTTTTAAAGAGTACTTTTAAATCACATTCACACATATTCAACTTTATTAAAAATAAATAATTATTTCACCTCTACGTGATTGTGTTCAACTGTAATCTGAACATAATTACTGACAAGGAAGTCAGGATATGGCAAATATTGAGGTTCATCTTACTACATACTTTTGTGACCCGATTAATGATTACTATTAAGAAATTGAAACAAAACCCTAAAAACACAACACTATGCACATATTTAATTAATCTGCATTAAGTTTCTTATCTACACACAATCAAAGTTAGGCTTAATAGCTTAGATAGTAAAATTATATTCAAGGAAATTACCTTACCTTGTTAAATTAAGTATAAGCGGACACTCTAGTATGAGGGCTGTGCAAATGGAGATTTGACTTGCAAATAGAATATCTTTACATAATGGTTTACAAAGCAAACCTGTTTTATGAAATATTGATCCCATGTGAACAGAGAGACATTTTCAAGCATCCAGACACCGTCTATATGCACACAATTGACCAGCTTCTCTGAATATTTCAAATTCAGAGGAAAAAGAACAGAGATGTACATTTACAGACAGTGGAGAGTTATGAACCTTGCCTGTTTCCATCAAACTAAAATATTTCTTTAGTTTTACTTGGAATCCAACACTCAATATAATGTTGAGTGCAAGTTCACTTTACATTTATTGTATTAGACACAATTATTACATTTTATACAGAATTCAAAGGCATAACTCTTAAAATTGTGATCCCAAATATTAAAAATATAAAAGGAAGAAAACAGTATTTTTTATTTTACAAATATTTTGCCGGCTGCCGCTAACTATCCTCCAACTTAGCTTTACTGCGACAAAACCTCTGGAGCAGGGATCAAAGCTCCCTTAATATCAAAGGCATCGATGATTTCCTGCAAGACACAGATCATAGATACAAATTATTTAACGTAAAGAACAGCCTGTTCCAAGCTAAATAAATATTTGAACATGGAAAAGTTGTAAAAAAAAATGTGTCTCAAATAGTTGTTAAAGGGGTCATATGATGCTGCTAAAAAGAACATTATTTTGTGTATTTGGTGTAATGAAATGTGTTTATGCGGTTTAAGGTTCAAAAAACACATTATTTTCCACATACTGTACATTATTGTTTCTCCTCTATGCCCCGCCTTTCTGAAACGCGTCGATTTTTACAAAGCTCATCGTTCTGAAAAAGCGAGGTGTGCTGTGATTGGCCAGCTATCCAGTGCATTGTGATTGGCCGAATTCCTCAAGCGTGTGACGGAAATGTTACGTCCCTTCCCATATTGTGATGCAATACATGTGCCACATGTGACGACCCCGGGCTGGACTCCGCTTCATCCACGGTGAAAGCTGATCCGACGCTCCACAGCGTGAAGTTGTAGTATTTCCTCAGCAACCAGCACGGATCAGCTCCAGGCATGACAAAGCGATATCGTCCTCTTTTGGAAGACCAAACAAAGTAGTTTCGCTCTCTTATGCACCAAGAGCTTGTAACACTCCAAAGAGAAAGGAAAAATTGAAATCGCATCATATGACCCCTTTAAAGATACAAGCCTCTGGTAATCCCGAGAAGAAAACTATTTCTATCTCAATTATAATCCAGAAAACACTTCTTTCCGACCCCAAACATCTGCTTTAATATTGCAAATATACACCAAATGCAGTCATAAAGTGCTCACCCTCTAGCTTTCCTGGTTGATGGAGACGACACATTGATGTCGGACAGCAGCTCCACCAGGCTCTACCTCTCCTTCCTCTACTGGAGCTATAATACACCCATAATACATATTATCTCGAAGTACATTCAAACAAACACAACCAAAATGGTGACCTGTGGATTTGATCTTACCTATACAAGGAAGCCCATCCTTATCCAAGTTCATTTTCACCAGACCATCCTGAGGGTTATATTTCATTCATTATTGTGAGACTTATGTTTAATCTCCAAAGCTGTTGTTGCCTCTTAACTTACCCTTATGAGAAAAGACGTGTGGAAGATGTTCTCCACAGTCCGGGAGGTCCGTGCTAAAAAAAAAAAAAAAGAATAATTTAGCTTTGAACTGATTCCATTACATCAATAGTTTCATCAATAGTTTCATTTACTACAGAAGTGGGCCACAAAGACATCAGTACAATATATCAGTACAAGGGGCAAGAATGGAATCACAAAACTAGCCTAATAATAACATACTCTTTAGAAAACTTCATGAAAATCGTTGCAATTACCTGCAAAATAATTACAAATATAATGTGAATTTCCAATATATAAGCCTTACACACTTACAATTACCTTATCACCTTCAGTTTAATTTTACTTAAACTGACCCTTACTACAGACATACTCACATGTAGTGGAATGAGGGGGCTGTTTTGAAGCAGTACTCAGATCTCTTTGCAAGCCTCTGCCAGGCGCTTTGTGGTAAATATCCCTCCAAGTTCCCATCCTGACCACTTTCATCTTCCAAACGATTCAGACCCATGAAGGACAACTAGAATGATCAATATGAGAAATCAATCAAGGAGAATCTAAGCATGCTTTTCTCCTCTGACACTAAATACAAGATCTGGGCTGCGTTTCTCAAAAGTATCATGAGCTGGTGGCAATGGTTCTACAATCTACTTAGGCTTACAATGCTTTTGGAAAACACAGCCCTGGCATTTCCTCTCACAGTAACTTACCAAATGTTCTGCAAATGCAGACGGGTCAAACGCAGAGCCTTCAGCATGTAGCTGGCTGGCCTTTTCCTTCCCTAGATCAGTGGCTAGTACCAGGAGTTGAGCATCCAGCGCTGCTTCACGAGCCTGCCTCACTGAAAACAAACCAGCAGGAGACAATCATGAAGACATAATACATAGAAAATGAAAAGTATGTGTGGAGAGCTCTGCCAGACCATGCATCCTACTAATTGACTGAATTGCATTAGTATTGTAGGTATCAGAATATGTAGCGTAGAAAATTAATACCATTGGCAAAAAGTTTGTTGGCCTCTTCTAAAACATCAGTGAGTTTATTGTTAGCTGGGTTCAGCATGTCCTCACGATTTTCTGTGAACAAAAAAAAGCATACTCAACAATATACTTACACTTTATAACTGCATCATTGAAGCCAACTTTAACAGTATTAATACTCACGCTGGACTTGATTGATCAGATCCCTGTACTTGCTCCTGATCTCTCTCCTGCGTGTTGGATCATCATCTTCCTCACTAATACCTGAGGGTCCAGCACCAATATCATCTTCATCACCCATATCACAAGCTCTCTCTGACCTGTTCCGCCCACCCAATCCATTGGATGTTCCCGCTGACTCCTCTTGACTCCCTCTAGACCTTCTCTTCGAATCAGACATCTTCAATGTTTCTGCTTGATTATCTATTCTGAGAAAGAAATCAGGAAGGGGGCCAACACTTTTTCACACCACTGTATGTCTGAATAATAGTATTACAGAAACGTAAATTCCTAGACCTGTAAAGTCAGATTATATTGTAACAAACATTAAACAGACCTAGAAATGACAGTAGCACACTGGGAAGTGTTTTAAAAAGGTAAGTAGGTTTCACCCAAGTATTTGAGGATAACATAATAAAATATAATATAATAAAGTACAATATGCAGCATAATTTATTAAAGCATCGAATAGCACCGTATCTTAATATAGTATGCTTCCTGCTAATCACATTGTCAGTAAACAGTATTTTACTGGTACACAGACAGATTTTAGAAAGACTTTTCTAAAAAAAATAATAATAATAAATAAATAAAAGTTTGTTTACAAAACAATTGCATCGTGTGTGCAAGCAATTCATGAAAATAGACAGACAGTGATCATATTTGCGATCCACTGCTGCTGACCTAAAAATGCGATCAGACATCGGAATATAAAGACAGAATAATTAATAAACACTGAGGTTCAAAAACTAGCCAATTAGAATGTATTATGAAAACTTACAAACTTTAAAAACTGCAGGGTTCATGTCTGTCATTTGTATCAACGGTGAAACCTTTGCGAGAGTAGAAGGAAGTGTTTTTACTGGCGTCATGTCATTTCTGACGCATTCTATGACGAAGCTTGTGGCTATAGTACATTGAGCTAGTATCGGATTATGTTTTATATTATTTTATTTATTAGTTCTTCCCCGGTTTGTATTTTTATACTATGTATACGATATTGTTTAAGCACTAACAATTGCTATTACAACTTTTGTCCGATTTGTCACTCACGTAATCTCACATCCTTGTGGTAGTTGTAGTCCTTATTAAGCAACTTGTTAGCAATTTACCTTAAAACACACACACACACACACACACACAGTATATGTTGTTGAACAAACCTGAAGACCAGAGACCTTAATTTGCCAATACATCGAAAACCACTCTAAAATTCCAGAGGACATTTCTAAAGGAATCTATGGCGAATTAGCCTCCCTTGTTGGCCTACAAATTGACGTCATGACTGAGCCGTTCTTATATTTGTTGGCGTTTACATTTTTACAAAATTAAAAAGTTGTCAGTTCAACACTAAGTTGCGAGTTTGTATTTTTCAAACAACTGTAACTATATTTAGATAATTTAAACACTATTAATAAATAAAAATGCGACTGTTGACGTAAACTGATTATGATTTTACACACACAATAGACACAATAAGGTGGATGAAAGCAGAAACGTACGTAGGAAACATATTAGTAATTATATAATAATTATAAGGAAATATATAGTAGATCCTCATAGAAAGTTGTGTCTGATATGATGTAGGTTAGAGAGCAGTAATGAATTCAACTCCTCCCTTCAACAGAGCAACAACAACAACAAAAAAAGACTAAAAACAACGCATAGGGTGTGTTTCAAAACTTAGTACGCTGCCTACCTAGACAGGATTTCGGGCTGTCACCGCGGCGTGCGTTGTTGCACAATAATGCTGTCCGAGTGCGCGCCTCGCTGGGTATTGAAACACAGTCATTAGATTCCGGAAATGAACAAACTCGTGATGTCAGGAGGAGTGGAAGAGAAACAGACAGCACAGGAGAAATTTACGTTTATTTCGTAGGATTTATGGACTGTAGAGATATGACAGCGTCATATGATGGAGTAAACGCGTGAAATGAGCACTGGACATGTTTCAGGGAGATTGTGGATGATCGCTGGTCCAAACTGAAAGTGTTTTCACGCGCATCGTGTGCTTCCTATTCCAGATCAACGTTTCAGCAAACATGACGCGACTCGCATTGGAACAAGTGACTGATTTCGGCGATTTCACGAAAGGAAAGAATCTAAAAGAGTTTTTCAAGCAGGCATACTCCAACATCTTATCTCAAAACTGCCTGTCCGATGTGCGTCTGAGTCCAGATGGACGTCACATTCATGTCATTGTGCGTCAGCCCAAGAGTGGTCTTATGACACATGACAAATATCAGCGAGCCCATCTCATGCAATTCCAGAAGCACGTTGATTTAGTAATAACTGGAAATGTGCCTATAGTGGATGTCATTTATATCCCTCAAAGCAAACCAGAAGATGGAGCCTCTGTGTTGGGAGTTATTTTTGAGAATGGAAGAGTGGAATTCTGGAAATTCCTAGAGTGCAGATCAGGCTGGCATTTACTCCAGACTGTAGATCTGTGTAAGAGCCCTCGTGCTAAAGTAATTTCGGTGTGCATGTGTCAGAATTTCATTATATGGTGTGAGGAGCGACCACCATCTGAGAACTCCAATAGTGTGAGCAGCAACCTCAGGTTCTGCATCTGCAAAAAGACTATAGAAGTTAATGAGGGGGGTGTCCGTTTGGGAAACGTGAAAATTGCATTGCACAATAATCCTCGATACACAACCATCAGTTCTGGGGATTTGGTCTATCTGCTCCCAGATATGAGGGAAAACCGTGTTTCTTGCAAGGTGTTTCTTGCATGGTCTCCTGAACATGACAGCTTTAAAGTGCATAGTGCCTGTAGTTGCACACTTATGAAAAGCTCAAGCAAGGAATCTGACTTCAAGAGACTTGTTACAGACTGCATTGGCCTTCTATTCACCATAAATCCTGATATCTGTGGATTCTCTCCAACTGGATGTGGAGACCTCCTTCTCCTTCTCAGCACTGGTTGGGTATGCATTATGAAGAGAAACGGCGGTCTTCACAACATATACAAACTTCCTGATAACTGCCTAAGTGCTAGTGGGTCCCAAAATAGCCTGAATATATATAACGAAATCCTGGCACTAACAATAGGCAGGACCCTCTTCTTAATCGACACCAAATGTGGTCTGGAATTAGAAAGAATAAGTCTGAAAACAGAAGGTCTTCTCTTCGTAAACACTTTGGATAGTCACTCTCCACAAATGCTGTCAGAAACAGGGCTGTTTGTGGTCACACAAAACCCGAAGCCTTCTCCAACGCTTTCAGAAGACTCGAGTGTACTCTTGGTTGAGGCTGTCTTTGAAGAGGCATGTAAATACTATCAGCAAAGAAGTCTAAGTAGCACGCAGCTCACGGTGGAGAAGCTAAAAAAAGGTGGAATGTTTCAAGCGCCCATATCGCTGGCTGCCATCCTCAGGGATTACCTCAGCAACCAGAAGACCAAAACTGGCGAGAAACATTCCACAGGTCAAGAAAGGCTCATGAGCTCACTCGAATCGGAACTCAGGAGTCTTGTTTTGCTGGAAGACATCAAAACATCAGTGGTGAAGGCTTCGGAGAAAGATCTAGAGAACTATTGTGAAAGCTTGGTGCAGCAGGAGATCTGCCGGCTGCTGAGTGGTGAGCTAGAGAGGGAGAATCTTCAGTACCTGAACGGCATCTTCCATCTCTTTCCCACTTACTCCTGGCACGCCATGCAAGCGGTTCTGCATCTGAGGTGCAACGGTGAGGGTTTGTTGTCATCTAAAGCTCCTGCTGAGTTATGGAAAATCATCCTCAGCCCTGTGCAACCCACAGCGAACTTTGCTCACTGCAACAGTCAGCAGAAACACACTGCGGTGCCTGTGTTTGAGCTCTTGTGCCACTCCATCTTCAAATTCCAGCCCAGCTGGCTCCCCAGGATTCTCGAACTGGCACAACAACAATCCGGCGGGTCCTCCAAGTCTTCGTGGGGTTACGGCATGAAAGAGAGCTCTGAGAGCTTGCCGCTCTATAAACGGGCCTTGACGGTGCTCCCTTGCAGTGGGACCTACCAACACCTGAAAGTGGAGCTGCTTTTGTGCAGCGAGCGGCCTAAAGCAATAATGCAAGCGTTGCGGATTCTCATCAAGCAAGGCCAGTGGGAACAGGTTGCACAAGTAGCTGAGAGGTTCTGCCGGCAGAGCCCTCTTCTGAACAAAGAGATTTTCAGTGCTCTGCTGTGCGAAGTGTCCCAACATAGAGACCTGGACCCTTATTTAGACCTGCTGTGGACTCTTTGTCCGGAGGACATGACTGTGACGAGCATACTTAATATTGTATTGAAAGACCTGCCTGATTCGACACAGAACTCGGGACCTTTCGAGGCTCATGGCAGCCAGGTCACCATCGGGCTTTTGAAACCGCTGCTCAGAAAAGTTCTCCAAAGGGAGACCAAACCGAGCCAAAGGTACGCAGATATCCTTCAGTCACCCACAGTTCCTCCGCTCACTCCTCCACGCCAGCCAAAGGGACTTTTCAGAGATGCTGAGCAGAAGGAAACCAAGCAGAGGACTTCCTCTGGATCTCAAGCGACATGTCAAGCCAGACTGGCCTGACTTTCCCACTCGCAAATCATGTCTGACCCTTTACATAGCCTGTTATTAAAAAGCTCTTAGAGGTAGTTCACCACAAAATGAAATTGTGTCATCATTTACTCAGGCTCATGTCGTTCCAAACCTGTATGACGTTCTTTCTTCTGTGGAAACTAACAAATATATTCTGATTAACTATTTTTGTATATACATTGAAAGACGGTGGGGTCCAAAACAAACTTTGGACCCCATTGACTTTCAGTGGATTGACTGTATTTCATGTTCTACACTACAAAGTAAGTCATACAGGTTTGGAATGATATGACGGTGAATAAATGAGGACACAATTTCTTTTTTGGGTCAACTGTCTCTTTAAGAAGTATTATTTACCTTGCATGGGCTGAACAAAATTACAGAGCTTCTTCGGGTCATTAGGGCTGGGCAAAAAAATAGATTTTTCGATTAATCGTTTTTTAAAATGACGTCGATTCGATATCGATTCTCAAAAGCCACGAATCGATCTTTTCCGGTATTTATTTCAGCACACATTTAAAACAAGATCTGATTAAGTGAATCTTATCATTAGTCTTCTCCACTAAATGTAGCAGCTGCAAGTTCTTCACGGCAACCCGTCAAAATAAAAGTTGAGTCTAACGTTAAGAAACTGTCAGAATATATTACTATTTAGTATTATATTTAGTAATATACTATTACTATATTACTGCTAATAAATATTAATAAATCTTTATTTTTAAAGGAATAATCACATCTGTTTTCTTTTTAATTTTAACAGTAAACCTCTGTTGTGCAGCACTTTGTTTGCCAAAAAATAAAAGGCTTTAATTTCCATTTGATTAGGATAAATTAAATTAATGTTTTATGCCTTCATCTGATTACCAGAAAAATTAAGAAAATTTTATAGGACCCTTTTATTGTTTAAAAAACCCTATACAAAAAAAAAAAGAATAGGTTTAAAATACAGGCATGTGGTTCTTAATTTCTTTTTATTAATTCACCATTTGTAAACTGATGTTTACTGTTCATTTTTTTTTTAATATCAATAGCATTTGTATTAAAACTATATTCACTGAATGTAATTAAAAAAACAAAATCGAGAATCGAATCGAGAGCTTGCGAATCGAAATCGAATCGGGACATCTGAATCGATACCCAGCCCTATGGGTCATTACTATTAAAATTGTAAAGTAATAACTTGCAATGCACATATGTTTAACTACTGCTTTAATTATTCCTAATATAGAATGTAATATGTTGTTTTTATGTTTACTTGGTTTGATGCATTTCATCTAACATGGTGTCTTTTAAACAGTATTTTCTTTTTCCTAATCTTCAGATGTGTCCTTTTTACAGCCGTCACACGAAGGCATGCTGTCACCCTGATCCTAATGTAAGGTCAGAGATGACTAAGCATTATCCACATTTCATGCTCTAGATCATTTATTTTATAAACTCTTAGCATAACAATGTCTTGTTTTTCTGTTGACACTACAGTTCATGTCATCGTACGTTGGAGTACTTATTATTTTAAGAAATTCCATGGAAGATGTAAGCTAAAAAAATGATTAGTCATTAATAAAAATGTACAGTAATATAAAATGTAATATGCATGCTGATGCATTGGACAATTTAGATTTGTTCATTTCATGTTAAATGCCTTATGTGTTTTCAGGATTGCTCTTGTATTTAGTGCTATCACAGGGATTTTAACTATGTAAAAAGCAATTAAATATGACTCGTGTATTGCTGCCACTCGTTTTCAAGTCTCTTTCTGAGCTAAAAGTGTCACAGCTGTCATTAGTGATGTATGGTTTTGTGGTCAGGGAGGGGAATTCTGATGTGCTTCCAGTGCAAAGCTTTATAAACTCACTGGGTCTCTGCATTCCTACTGAGCTCAGCAGCAGCATTCACAGCACTGCTTTAAATTCAGTTCAGCTAAATTCTATTATACAGTGACCAGCTTCAAACTCAATTATATTGGGCAGGCTTGTGTTGCCCCGTCATAGCTAATTGTATTTGGAGAGCTGAAACACTTCTATTTTCTCTTTTTGATGCAAGTGTTTACTAGGTATTGGAGTATTCTGCACAGTGTATTTGAAATTTTATTTTTCTGACCTACAGTAATTAACTAAAGGCACAAAAAATTGTTCCTAAATGTGATTTTAAAAACATTTAGTAAAAATGTCTGAAATATCTCTGTGTGTGCTACTGCTAACTGTATGCTACTGTTAGACAAACCCATGCAGCATTCTGTCTGCTGAGGAAAAAGTGAATTGTTTGAACACATTCATTTAAAAAAACAAAAACAATTCCAGTTTGATATTATTAGAGATGATTGCCAGAATGGGTTGACACGCATGTAAATCTTATTTATTTAGATCTTCTTTTTTTTGACGATCTGCTTAATTTTAAGTTTGTTTTTTCTGCTTGCAACATCACAAAAACAAAATGCCTACAGCATACAGTATATATGTGATTAAACAGAATAAAGTTATTTTGTCAAAACCAAAAGATTTTCTGTCTAATGGTGTTGACAATTAAATAGATGGTATATAGTTGTGATGATAGTTGAAGGCCAGTACTTATTTGAATATTTGACGTAACAAAAAAAAAAGTGAGAAAATATGTTATTTGTAAAACATAAGTTAATACCCATGGACATGTTTAATAGATTACTCCATAATAATAACTTATTTTGCAATCAAATAATTCCTTACAATTAACTTTTTTCAGTTCTGTAACCTTTTCCAAGAATCGGGCCTTCGGCCTTGCATAGTTTAATCATTTTTCTCATCCACTTCATACACTACTGTTCAAATGTTTGGGGTTGTTCAAAAAGTTTTGGGGAAGTTAAAAAAAACAGCAGTTATTTGAAATACATATCTTTTATAACATTCTAAATGTATTTATTTTCTGTCATTTTTTTATCAATTTAATTTGCTGAATAAAAGCATTAATTTCTCTAAAAAATTATTAATGACCCCAAACATTTGACTGGTAGTGTACACATAACATGAACATGCATACGGCTTAGATTTACATGATTTCAAGACCAGTTGTGTGGTTTTGCAGGAATGCCTGCCTTTGTAGTGCATGTCTGTTAGTATCTCTGGTATTTACTAATCCGAATGCTAAGAGTTAGCTCTAATATCGAGAAATGGTCTGGTATATTTTTAAATGAACCTTTTTCCTGCTACATGATCTCAGTGTTTTTGAAAACTACCATACAACAATATTTTCCGGATATTTAATGTTTTGCTCAGTGTCAAATAGTGAATAAATCCTGTTGTCTGATTTCTGTTCCCCCCCCCCACCCCCTACCCCCCAAGCAGTACAGATATGTGTGGAATGTGTACTCCACTACTCTAGTACCTCATCCTGATTGGCACACTGTTGTAATGGCAGTGAGGCCTCGGTCACAGGACATAGGGTTTCTAGACGGGTCGTCTGGACAGACTGTGGCAAGCGATTCTTTACAGCAAACAAACAGGTTCAGCATGGTAGTGTAAGCACCTTTTATTTTGATTGTAATTAATACATGACACGAGATAGAAATGTTTAACAGGCCTCAGATTCCACCTATCAGACCGCACCACTTCAAAAATAGGTTAGTTGGCTTATACAGTTACAGTCTTCACAGTATCCATGAGCTAAATTATTTATTAGAACAGTTGTTTTTAAATACAATATATGCCAGCAGTATAACAGCATACCCATATTTCTTATTGAAAAAATGGCATAAATAAATCTCATTGCCTACAGGACCACATAAAGTGCTTGCTAAACTCCCATTATTGCCTTATAATAGAAAACATATTACAGTTGTAACAGTGAAGTTGTGCTTTTCATTTAAATATTAAGTGCTAAAATCATTTGACACAAAGTTCATTTACGATTCAGTCTATGGCCCTAAAAATAAAGAAAAAAGTACTCAGAAGCTACTTTGGCATTCTTTTTCCTACAATCATTGTCTACTTGTCGATTCTTTTGAGATGTGGGTCAGTGTGTGAAAATCAAACTTAACGGTCACTTTTAATTATGTACATATGTAAAAGGTGGTTGTTTTTCCATTTCCAATAATTCAGGTTTGAGGTGGGCCTTTGGGAAAGGATTCATCATGAAGTTATTGTTCCTTTAAAGAGAGAAATCAGAAGGAAACCATTTGAATTGATCCATGACAGTAGGTAAACAGTAGACTTTTCCATGATCCGCTTCTACATTTAGAAAACAAATAAGATCATTTACTCATAAACATCTGAATACGTCATCCTGCGGTAGTACTTGGCCAGTTTAACTGAGAAAATGATGCTGGGGATCAGGAATATCATACACCAGCCCAAACTCAACCAAAAGGCGTTCTGGGGAACAGACGGGATATTATGTTAAGGGTTTATTAGATGGGAACCATGTGCACTTACAAATCTGTAAGCACTGTAAAAAGAAAAAAAAGAGGCAGCTAGAGCTGGTGAAGGATTCTTACCAAAGATTCCACCAAGTGTTTACAGAGGAGCTCCTCTGATCTGTCTACTGCTGCAGCTGCAGGCCCACAACGACCCACCTTCTCTGTGATCTGATTCAGAGTACAACACAATGATATTAATTCATCATCAAGATAGTCAGCATCTTGAATATAAATAAAGACAAACATACCGTTTGATTTGCCCAGTGAACAAATGTCAGAAAGATTTCCAGCTGGCAGTCTATGAATGCCCTGCTTTCCTGCAGAAAAAAGTGTACAGTTATTATAAAATGCACAGTAGATTTTTTTCATCACTGTAATACAGTAAGCATCCTGACAGATGATTTAGCTAAATATAGCATTGATTGTACAACACTCACAGTTTTCACTATTTGTGATATGTTGTAGTTCAGGACGTCCTGAGCAGAGCCAACTTTTCTGAGAACATTCTCCACAGCTGCCTAAAAAATGAATAAAGAGAAGAAATGTTGAAGAAACCATGATCATTTTTTTCAAGATTCTTTGATGAGCAAATAGTTCAAAAGAATAGCATTTATTTGAAATAGAAATTTTGGTAACAATATAAAAGTCTTTACTGTCACTTTTGATCAATATAATGCATCCTTGCTGAACAGTACTGTATTTGCTAGTGAACTTCTAAACAATGACACCATTTCAAATGCTCCCTAATACCACCTGCAATAACAGCAAGTAGCAAAACATCATATTTCATGGGGCCCTTTAATTAAATTCTTTTAAAAACTGATATACTGTAGTTTTGGCAAGTCAGAAAGAAGACTCTGCTGTGTATAGCTATATCGTATGAATACTCACTGGCACATATGATGACTCTAGTGTTTACTTACAGTGATTTGAGACGCTACTGCACTGAGATTCTTAACAGTGGTGTTCAGTTCCAGCTGCAAAGAGGATGTAGGTCATGGTATGCCAAACTGATACAAACTAGTCAAGAACACTTTGTGATTATATTCATTATTTCCTAATGTTAATGTCACATTCAGTTGGAATTTAAATTCTGAGTACTGTCTTTTGTGTTGTGTTAACACACCAGCAAAGGCATAATGTTAGACGTGATCTCAGTCTGGATGTCTCGCAGATCTTTTGCTTCCCCATACAGTTGGTCTTTTATATTTTGGTTACTCTGAAAGACACAAATAACTGTACATCATCCATCTCAGTCATTCACTAGAGCAGGAGGGTGTTAACAAGACAAGTAAACAAGAGTAACTTTTACCTGTTTGCCAGCCAAGATATCCAGACTTTCTGCTACTAAACTCAGATTAGTCCCTGACACATCATTAATCTGAAATAAAAAAATGTATTGCTAATATAGATTTTAAAATATATTTCTATAAATATATTCTCAATAAGTACTTCCTCATATATTTTTTGGCATTTTGTCATAAATATATTTTCAACATTAATATATTTTTATTGTCCATAAAATATTTGAAACAATACATTTTGCATTATTTATATATATATATATATATATATATATATATATATAGTGGTGGCCAAAATGATTAGAACACTAGTATTTTCACCAGCTAAAAAATGGTCAGTTTTTTCTAGGGCTGCCCTCGACTAAAGATTTTTCTGGTCGAATAGTAGTCGTTCATTTTAAGCATTAATTGACTAATCGCACGTTTATTAATAAACCATTTAAATCATGCTAACGAGTCTTTAATTTAAATTGCCTACATAGCCTAATAAGCAAGTTGACTAATCGCACGTTTATTAATAAACCATTTAAATCATGCTAATGAGCCTTTCATTTCCTACATAGCCACAGCACACCAGCAGAAGTAATGATGTTGAATGTGTCAGGGAAAAACAGTAAGATTAAACTGCATTAACATTTTAATAACCTATTGATAAGTGTTTTCGGCTTAAGAGATGAATTCAGCAACAGTGACTCGTCATCTCCACAGTAGTGTATGCACTTTATTACATAATCTGAGAATATTTGTTTTTTCAGATTTTAATTGTTTCATTTGAAAGTAGACATTTCACTCTCTATAGATATATTTTTCATGTCTGTAAGGCAAGTATACACGAAGTTTCGCGCTCATGTTCACAGAGGCCGAGACGGCAGAAAGCATTACTCTTATCTGTATGACCAAAATGACAGAGTATTTTAAGAGCAGGTGACTGCACCGGCGCCTCCATCTGTCCTGCTGTGAGCGCGCTACTGTTCAGCTTTCACACTCCGCACAGACACTTGAATAGTGCACATTTTTCTAGGTTAACATTAGATTGAGCTGCCATGTAAAGTTGCTACTACTTACATATTTCAG